TTATCTCTGAATCACTATTAATTCGGCAGAATATTAGAATAGAGACATTGGTATAATAGATATATCGAATATCAAATTTTAGTAGATATCAGAAGTCTTATAATAATTAGTTTAAGTATATAGTAATTTAATATAAAATTAAGATTAATTCGATAGATAATAGATCGGGAAATTTAGATAATATAAATAGAAATAATAGATTATTAAACCTCTTATTATAGGTCTAAATATTAATAGAATAGATAAAATAAAATAATATAAAATATAATAATATTATTATAATATAACAAAAGATACTAGCGAGCTAACTAACATAAATATAAAAGATAAATCAAACCTTATTAGATTAGTTTATATAGAATTAAATAATACTAGAAAGAGTTATAAGAGAATAGATAAGAAAATTAGAAGCCCAACTAGAGATCTTATTAATAAATATAATAATAACCCTAACTTTTATAATAATAGGAATAGAAACTCTAATAGAGATAATAGATATATTACTAACTCTTTCTCGAATAAAAATAGAAATATTAACAAAACTAGTATAAATAGTTATATAACAACTCTAAATATATTTTCTAGATCTAGTAATATTTATAAAAAGTTTATCTAACTAGCTAGTATAGAAGATTATAATAGAAAATAAGCTTAGAATAGATAATAATACTATTAGAGACTTATAAAACTAATTAATTTATATCTTTTTTTATTTAGAAAAATTAGCGATAAAAAACTATATCTTATTTATAAAAATCTGTTAATATAATAACAAAAATATTCTTAATCTGCTAATATATCTAGAAGATATTTACAGAAATCCTAACTTTTAAATAAAAATATATAAAAGATTTTATATATTATATTAACAAAAAAACTAATCTTTTACAAAATTCTTCTTATAACTCGAGAAAGAGTTTATAGATATAAGAGCTATAAAATAATTTAATAAAATAAAATAAGATATTTTATAGATAGTTATAAACTAGAAAATAAAAGAGATATTATCGATTTAAGATATTTCTAGTATTTATTTAAAGCTAGTTATATATCTATAAAAGATTAGTTTAGATAATAATATATTAGAGTTAGATTAATATAAAATATATCTTTATATAAAAACTAATAATAAGATAGACTAGATACTAATAATATAGATAAAATATATCAAATCCTATATAAAATAATTATAATTATAAAAAGTTTCTCCTAAATAAACATAATAGATAATCTTAGATAAGATTAAATAATAATAAAAAGAGGATAGATATTTTTATTATAATAAAATAGACTATCTTATATAAGATTATAAATCCTAATCTATATAGTCTCTAAACTAATTAATAGATATTATTAAATTAAACAAAAATAAAAAAAAACATATTATATAGATTAAAAAGTTAAAGATAATAGATAATAAAAAAAATAAGATCTTATCATCAAGTAAAAATAAAGAGACCACTTCTAATAAGATAAAAAACAAATAACTCTTATTCTAAGTTATAAATAAAAATAAAAAAAGATTAGGAAACTACTAAAAAACAAAACATTACTATTTATAATCAATACTAAAATTAATAGAATCTAATTTATACTAGCTTTTGTCGATAACAACTATTATTATTATATAATTATAAACTAGTTATTAATATAGTCGCTCAATCTTCTATATATCAAGATATATCTATAAATATTAGACAAAATAACCCTAAACTAGTATTAAATAATCTATATTATATACTTCGATCTCAATATTTATAGTTATTATTAAAATCAAATATTTATTTATATTATTAAATTATAAAAGAATAATATAATTCTAGAGAATCTATAGCTTTATAAAATAAATAGATACTATTTAACCAGAAAAAGATAGCTAGATATCTTTTTAAAGTTAAGAAAATATACTAGATATTAGAATCAAGCAGATTACTTAATTAGATCTATTAAAATAAAAATATTATAGCTTAAAAAAGTAATAAAAGTAAAAATCGACAAATTAATATATCAAAAAATAAGTACAAAACAGATACAAATCGGTAAGATCTCGATAGATAATATTAAGAAAGTTTTCTAGCTAAAAAAATATATCGATATAAAAAAGAAACTACTAAAATATTACTAGTAGTAATTAGAAGTCTTTAGCTAACAATTAACTAACTAGTTACTATTATATCAACCTAGAATCGATTATAAAATCTTATTAAAACAAGACCAGAATAGGATCGAAAAGTTTCTACTATATAGACTATTATATAATATAAACAAGAAAGAACTCTTATATCTATAAAAAATATTAATAGATCTACTCAACAAAAACTTTATAAAAGTCAGTCAATTACTAGTAATAATATTAGTATTATTAGTATAGAAATTAGATAATAATATATAATTTTATATCAATTACTAAAGACTAAACAAATAAATAATAAAAGATTATTATCTTTTATCTCTGATATATAAGATATTATAAAATATAGACTAGTATACTTTTATATATATTATAAAATCCTACTAGCAATAGTAAATAATTATAATTTTTAATTTATAAACAGGTTCTAGAAGAGAATATACAAGAAACTATCGATATAATAGTATTTATCGATAGTATTTTATCTATAAACTAACAGCATAATAGAGTATATTAACTAAAAGATCAAATATATTCTATATATATTTATTATCTATATATAAGATAACTAGAAAAAATTATTACTAATTATTATTATTATAATCAATAACTATAATACTATTATTACTAGAATATTATTATTCTTTTTTATTTATAGATATTATATTAATCTAATTAAAATTAATAATACTAACTAATTAAAGAATATCTTAATATAGCCCGAGTTAGTAGACAAAATCTTTATAAATTACTTATAAGAAACTACTAATTAGATCTAGACAACAATAACTATTATATAAATAATATAGAAAGAATAAATAAATCGACAACAATAAGTTATACTAGTATATTAAAAGAAAGATTATATATAATTAAACTTATAAAATATATACATCTAATATCCTTTAAAAAAACTAGACTAGTTATATATATAATATTAAATAATCGATATCTTATCACTATATACTATCTAATTAAACATTCCTATTAGTGTCTATCTTATATTCTATATTAAATTAATATAACCTACAACTATAGACCTACTTTTCTTCTAGATTGTAGACAATATATAGCCACTACCACTATTAATAAATAACAAATTGGAGTACAAAGTTGAACAAATTGTGGCTGTTCGACACAAGAAAATTAGGAAGAGATATGTTACGGACCCACTTCGGTTGAAGAAAATAAGTCAACCACGACCAACCGATCTGTCAAGATTGACACACACGTGACAAGGGAGCCAGGTATGGCAGCCGACCAATTGGCATGAAGGAGCCAGGAACAGCTGTCTAAGGCAGCAAGGCAACAGTGGCTCATCAGCGATGTGCACTGCACATCAGCGATGCGCGGAGCGCATCAGCGATGTGTCCCGAACACATCAGTGACAGGAAGGACTGGATATATAAGGACACTCACTTGGCACCATGTATTTAGTTCTTCGCGATCAATCTCTTCTTGATTCTACATCATTGTTACTTAGGAACCACAAGATTGGAATACGACAACGGTTCATTGTTCATACTTGTCTCGAATCCAAACCTAACGACGAAGGGGAGATCCATAAGAACCTGACCTCGTCGGCGCCCTCAGCAGCTCCACGTTTACTAAGCAAGACCTCTAAGGACTTGAGCATCTAAGGCCTGTTGCCGTGTGTGATCGGTAGGCATTGCAATAGAGTGACGAGACACCCTTGGCGTGCAGAGTGACCAAGAGAAGTATCACCCTTTGAGGACCCACTCACCGAGACTCGCTAGGTAGTGCGTAACACATTGATCGCCCATCTCGAACAAGTACGACACTGAACAGCAATTGACGCCCTGACCTTGACGCCACTATGTCGACTCAAGGCAGTAATACCCCACGCCCACCAGCACCAGCTGCACCACCTACCAACGCTCAGTTGGAAGGCATGCTCAGCCAGTTACAGGAACAAATTATGGAACTAGAGAAGCAACGATTGCCACAGATCAAACCACCGAAGCCAGATTTCTTCGAAGGACACCGAGGCAAGTTGCGAGCATTCTTGACGCAGATGGATATGCAATTACGACTTGTCAACTTCCAGTCCGAAGTCGATAAGGTCATGTATGCATCCACGTACCTGCGAGGACAAGCGTTCGAATGGTTCGAACCATACATCCGGGACTATACCGACAAACCCAGCAAGGACCGCGATGAAGCTACAAAAGAAGTTTTCGCGTCATACTCCAACTTTAAGAAGAAATTAGAAGCCACCTTTGGGGATGTTGATGCAACCCGTACCGCGGAACGACGATTGAGGAGACTCCGACAAACTGGATCAGCCAGTGTATACACCGCTGAATTCCAACAAATCATCTCTCATCTCGATTGGGATGAGGATGCGTACATCGCCATCTATGAAGACGGTCTTAAGGAAGATGTGAAAGACGAAATCATGCGAATCGACCGACCCGATAGGTTGAGCAAACTCATGGAAGTCGCAGTCAAGTTCGACAACCGACTATACGAAAGATCGCTTCAACGACGAGAAGCACGACAGTGGCGGGGACAAGGACAACCTCCCCGAACCCACGGATTCCGACGACGAGGAGGTCGAAGAGAGCCACGACAGGCCCAGTACAATGACCCATATGGATTGCAACCTATGGATCTGGACGCGGCAGAAAACCCACGAAAGGAAAAGCAATATAGGCAGATGAAAGGAAAATGCTTCAACTGCAACCAAGGAGGACATTTCGCAAAAGAATGCCCTAAACCACGGAAACCGCGACAACCGCAGCAACTTCGAGCAACAAACGAGAGCCGAGGCGGATACAACGAGACCAAACAAATCTGCGCCACGGAAGAGCGCGAGAGGGACGAAACATTATCAGACATCCAAGACATGCTTGAAGCATGGACGACGCTAAGTGAAAGCGAGATCGCAGACAGCGAACCAACGGACGGAACCGCGAGAAACACCAACGACAAAGACACAGAAGCACAGACGTACGAGGGGAGTGACACCTCGGAACTGTTGAAAGAAAACCAGCGACACGAGTTCCCAGAGATCGATTGGGATAACAGAAGTTGGACTCTGGACGAATCCGAGTCCCAGGAGCAAGAGGGACTATCCCAGGAGACACGAAACCTCGTTCAAGGAACGAAGGGCTCCCAGGACCTCGAATACGAACCTCCATGCCCCGAACTGCACTACCAGGACCCAGAATGGGCCGTCGAGATATTCAACCGAATTGTCAGGGAAGAACCCTACATCAGAGGAGCAGTTATGAAGTTAAACGAGTTGTGCGAACTCATGAACAGGAACACCACCAAAGAAGAAAAGAAGAGGGCCTGGATCGAGTGCGACCCACAGCGGTACGCGTTCCGACCAGAACACGAAATACCCTACAGCGCAGGATGCCCGTGCGATGAAGCGGATTGCTCATGTCGCGGATACGCCAGGCATCCCGACCACAGCACGATACCCTTCACGCGGTGCTATGAACTACATTCTTGCCCGCAACACGACAAAGAAAAAGCTGAGGCCAAACCCTACCGACTCGAAACAAACGTATACGAGAAAGCACCACGATGGCGACGCCAGTACAAGAGCAGCTACCTGGCCAGACACGGATTGTTACCATCCGACCCTGCCAAGAAGAACCAGAACCAATCAATTTGCGGAACGCAGTGGGGACCTCACCTAAAGGTCGAAGTGATCCTTATGGGAAGAAAAGCACGAGCGTTCATTGATTCTGGAGCATGTGGAAATTTTCTGTCCAAGGCATGGGCCAGAGCTCATGGAGTACCCGTTTACGCCAACCCAAATGCTGTACCAGTCACTGGGTTAGACGGACGCGCCTACGGAACAGGAATACAATACGAAACAGGATGGATACCAATGCAGCTCGGAAACCACTTCGAGATGAATAATTTCGATATCATCTCAGAACTAGGGAAGTACGATGTGCTATTAGGAAGTCCATGGTTGAAACGACACAACCCCGAAATCGACTGGAAAACGCACACACTCAGATTCACACGATGTGAATGCCGAACGACGAACGGCGAGGCGACGGATAAGCCTAAGAAAACCGCCAAATTTAGGGAGCTCAGCCCTGGGCAGGCAGACACACCAGAGAACATGCACAGGCAGCAGACCCAGCATAGTCCTCGGTCCTCGGGAGGTAGGACCCCGCATACCATCGTGAGAATGGATGCCTATGTCACAGAAGAAGTCGCGATGTCAGACGATGAAATTGACAACTACGTGGTAATTGACCACGCCGAAGACACGAAGGCCCTCTGTGGGACAGAGGAAGAGGTACAGATACCTGAACAATACAAGGAATTCGAAGACGTGTTCACACCACCACCAATTGGCACACTGCCAGAACACGGTCCGTACGACCACGAGATCAAACTCAAACCAGGGATGGAACCCAAGTTCATGCCGATTTACCAACTCAACGAGAACAACAAACGTCTCTTGAAGGAATATATCGACGAAAACTTGAAGAAGGGATACATACGACCATCCAAGTCACCAGCAGGATACCCCATCCTATTCGTTGCGAAGAAACACGAAGACCCCACGAAACGGCAACGAATGTGCATCGATTACAGACAGCTGAACGAAGCCACGATCAAGGATCGACACCCATTGCCTTTGATTCAAAGCATCCAAAATACTGTTGGGAAAGCTAAGATATACAGCAAGTACGACATCACGGAAGCTTACTACAGGCTACGAATCAAAGAAGGGGACGAATGGAAAACAGCATTCCGAACAGAACTTGGACACTTCGAGTATACTGTTATGCCCTTTGGATTGACCAACGCACCAGCATCATTCCAAAGATTCATTCTAGACGTTCTGAGGGAATATCTAGATATCTTTGTTGTTGTCTACCTAGACGACATCTTGGTCTACTCCAACAACGAGGAAGAACACGTGCAGCACAACAAACTCGTTCTTCAGAAACTCAGAGAAGCGAAAGTCACATTGAAACTCAAGAAATGCGAGTTCCACACGGAAGAAACTGGATTCTTAGGATATGTCATCACCAAGGAGGGATTCAGCATGGAAGAAGAAAAAGTACGAAGCATCCTGGAATGGCCACGACCTACCAAGGTTAAGGAAGTGCAACAATTCCTAGGGTTAGCCAACTACTACCGACGATGGATCGGAGGATTTTCAGCAAAGGCACACGGCCTAACAGAACTCACGAAAAAAGACCAGCCGTGGGAATGGAACAACGAAGCGAAACAATCGTTCAACGAACTTAAACGATTATTTTTGGAACGAATCATACTCGCAAGAAATGATCCACAGAAACCATATGTCATGGAGACAGATGCATCGGACTACGCGTTAGGAGCCAGGCTCACGCAACCCGATAACGAACAGAAATATCGACCAATTGCATTTTGGTCCAGAAAGATGACACCAGCCGAATTAAACTACGATGTCTACGACAAAGAACTATTGGCAATAGTCATGGCATTCAAGACATGGAGACCATACTTGGAAGGAGCAAACCACCAAGTAGTAGTGAAGTCAGATCACAAAAATCTGACATACTTCACCACTACCAAGGAGCTCACCAGACGACAAGCACGATGGGCAGAAGAACTGTCCCGATACGATTACCGAATCGAACACTGCAGCGGAACGTCCAACAGTCAAGCAGACGCGCTCAGCAGAAGACCTGACTACCAAGAAGGAGTCAAAGAAGCATCACCAGCCATCCTACGAATGGATGAATATGGCAATATTGTTCACAACCACCAACAGCTAGCAGCAACTAGTGAAATCCTAGACGAATGGACGGCCAAACTCAAGGAAGAGACAGCTAAAGACGGAACCATCCAGAAAATCTTGGAAACCGCACCAGCAAAGATGACCCAAGAAAACGGACTTGTCATCATACACGGATTGATCTACGTACCCGAAAAATTGAGACAAGAAACGATCAAAAACCACCATGACACCCCAGCGGAAGGACATATGGGAGCAGAAAAGACTATCGAAAGCATCACAAGGAACTACTTCTGGCCGAACATCCACAGAAAAGTCAGGAAATACATACGAAACTGCGATACCTGTCAACGAGACAAACCAACAAGACACATGCAGTATGGAGAGCTACAACCTGTCGAAGCACCGACAACACCGTTCGAAGTCATCACCATTGACTTCATCACCAAGTTACCCCAGTCGGACGAACAAGATATGATTATGGTAGTGACGTGTAAACTCACGAAGTACACATACCTAATCGCAACCACGGAGCAGATCACAGCAGAAGAAATGGCAGACCTGCTTGTGAGACACGTTTTTGCAACCAACGGAACGCCCAGGGTCATGATATCTGATCGAGACAAACTATTCACCTCGAGACTCTGGCAGTCACTTACAGACTTGATAGGGATAGAGCTACGACTTTCAACAGCCTATCACCCGCATACCAACGGACAGACAGAACGAACAAACCAAACAGTTGAACAATGGCTACGCCACTACGTCAACTACCGACAAGATAATTGGGCAGCACTCTTACCTATTGCACAGTTCGCGTTTAACAACGCCGTCCACTCAACGACCGGTGAAACACCAGCATTTGCAGTATTCGGAAGAAACCCGACACTGCTAGGAGAAGCAATCGGCAAGAAACCAGTCGCCGAAAACGCACGACTCATGGCTCGAGGCATCAGACAACTACATGCACAACTCGCCAAAGACATTGAATTCATGAACTACCGCATGAAAATGTACTACGACCGCACCCACGCGGAAGGGCCAGACCTAAAAGAGGGGATGAAAGTGTACCTCTTACGACGAAACATCAAAACCAAGCGACCTAGCTCGAAACTCGACCACCTGAAACTCGGACCGTTTAAAATTGAAAAGAAAATCGGACCAGTCAATTATCGCTTGAAACTACCAGAAAGCATGAAAAGAATATTCCCGACATTCCATATCTCGTTACTCGAACCCGCACCAGAAAATGCAACCCTTGAAACCAACGTTGAACTCGCGGAAGACGAAACAGAGGACGAATACGAAGTCGAAGCTATCCTAGGGGGATAGATGGATGGATAATCAGCAGAAGCTCTTGGTTAAATGGAAAGGGTACCCTACCTCGGAAAACACATGGGAACCTATTTCGAACCTGAGGGGCTGCCACCAGCTGGTTCAACAATATTATCGCGCGGCGAAGAGACTACCTCGCCAACGGAAGCAGCGAAAGCGTCGAAATCAATGTCGTCCCAATTTACGGGACTGGACGGATCGACAGACGCAAGAATCTGCGTCAGAGTAGGACCCTCTGACGTAGCCGCAAGGATCCTACCAGGATCGGAAGAAGCAGATTGAGAAACCTCGCCAGCGGCACGAACGCTCTCTGCACCACAATCTTGTTTTTCCGTATCGACACGCTCTTTTTCGATACGAGCAAGCTCTTCAGCTTCACGACGTTCGAGATCCTCCAACTCGGAAATCTCCTTAAATTCACGAGCGATAAAGTCACCAGCACGCTCTCTTAACAAAGCTTCTTGTTGCTCAAGGCGCATAACTTGAGCTAACGCTTTCTTTCGTTGAGCAGCAATCTCTTGCTGCATTTTGACCAGTTTACGCCATTCGGCGTCAGAATATGTCGGCTTCGACATCACGCACTTCGCCCGACCACCACCAGCGATACAACCAAGACACTTGTCGGAACACTCCGCACGGAAACACACTCGTTTGAGACGGACGCAGCGTTCACAAGGGATTACAGCCCTGAAACCTTCCTCCTCGATTCTCGTCGTCAGATTATTTTTGCGAACAGAGGAACGACACACCATGATGATCGAAATAGGTGAAGAAACATGAGGAACAGGAACTCACCAAAGGGGGAAGACGCTATTTAAGTCTTTGGGACAAAGACCCTGAAGGAGGGGGATGATGTTACGGACCCACTTCGGTTGAAGAAAATAAGTCAACCACGACCAACCGATCTGTCAAGATTGACACACACGTGACAAGGGAGCCAGGTATGGCAGCCGACCAATTGGCATGAAGGAGCCAGGAACAGCTGTCTAAGGCAGCAAGGCAACAGTGGCTCATCAGCGATGTGCACTGCACATCAGCGATGCGCGGAGCGCATCAGCGATGTGTCCCGAACACATCAGTGACAGGAAGGACTGGATATATAAGGACACTCACTTGGCACCATGTATTTAGTTCTTCGCGATCAATCTCTTCTTGATTCTACATCATTGTTACTTAGGAACCACAAGATTGGAATACGACAACGGTTCATTGTTCATACTTGTCTCGAATCCAAACCTAACGACGAAGGGGAGATCCATAAGAACCTGACCTCGTCGGCGCCCTCAGCAGCTCCACGTTTACTAAGCAAGACCTCTAAGGACTTGAGCATCTAAGGCCTGTTGCCGTGTGTGATCGGTAGGCATTGCAATAGAGTGACGAGACACCCTTGGCGTGCAGAGTGACCAAGAGAAGTATCACCCTTTGAGGACCCACTCACCGAGACTCGCTAGGTAGTGCGTAACAAGATATTGTAACGAAGCTCTCGTAAAATAGGTCGGCTGGATAGAGCAAACTTGGCAGAAATTAAGCGACTTAAAAGACTGTATAGTACTAGATAAGTTCGAGATCTAATACAGCCCCATTTAACAAGTAATTCGACGGCAATTAGAGACAGAAACACATATTACTATCTTTATCGCACAAACAAAGCTAGAAGGGGGGTATTGTTACGAGCCAAGACCCAGTATTGATCATATAGGATATATAACCTTGGTATACTAATAGTAAAGGACTGGCGTATTAAACTTCTTTTCTTAAGTTTATCGAATACAGTTTATGGCCTAGTATAGATTGAACCAAGTCTTACTTTAGCCCTTCATATCTAATATCTTTTGAAGAAGCTAGACTAGTTATATATATAATATCGAGTAGTTAATATTCTATTATTATATACTATCTAATTAGATATTCTTATTAGTGTTTATCCTATATTCTATATTGAATTAGTACAATCTATAACTATAGATCTACTTCCCTCCTATATTATAGATAATATATAATTATTATTGTTATTAGTAGACAACAAATTAGAGTATAAAGTCGAACAGATTATAGCTATTCGATGTAAGAAAATTAGGAGAAGATATTGTGATAAAACCCTTGTAAAATAGGTCGGCTAGATAGAGTAAACTTGACAGAAATTAAGCAACTTGGAAGACTGTATAGTACTAGACAAGTTCAAGGCCTAATATAGCCCTATCTAATAGATAATTCGACGGCAATTAGAGACAGAAACATACATTACTATCCCCATCGCACAAATAAAGCTAGAAGGGAGGTATTGTCACGGGCCAGGGCCTGATGTTGATCACATAGGACATATGACCTTGGCGTACTAATAGCGGAGGACTAGTATATTGAACTCCTTTTCTTAAGTTTATTGAACATAGTTTGTGGTCTAGTATAGATTGAATCAAGTCTTGTTTTAGCCCTTCACAATTATAACTTATAATCTATTAAATAGATTCTAGTTCTAATTCTTAATCTTTTTCTTTATTATTACTAATAAATTCTAAGACTTTAAATTATAATAAAGATTTTTATATTTAGTCGAATAAAATAGTCTTATCTTTATCAGTTGTTAGCCGATTCTGCCACTCCCTACTGTCCTTGATACCAGTACTACAATAGGGCGCAAAAGTCTGTATACATCCTGCTTCCGCCACCTACCCTATCAAATATATATATCCATAGTAACGCATGCTACACCACCAAATCTTATTAGATCATAATAAAATTAAATATGCTAAATAATCAAGTTCATATATATATTTCCCTCCCCTAATATTTTATATAATATCCGTTATTTGCATATAATTTATCCATCTTTTTCCCTATACTCAATATCAAGTTATCGATCTTCGCCTGGTTTAATACATCCCATACAACACCAATACACTCTTTAAAATAGGCCCAATCCTCTTCAGACTTTCCTATCTACATAAGGTCTGGAAACATACAAAAAAGTTGGCGCTTTAACATATTCCAGACCGGTTCAATAAAGTTAAGATCAGGCAAGTATATAAGCCAATCTTCTACATAGATCTTATATTATTTAAACTAAGATTATATATCCTTTACTATATAAATCTTTGTATTATCTTACTAAAATATCTTTCTAGGTTTATAGATTAGAAGAAGACCTTTTTTAAGTATATTTATATAACTCTAATATAAATATCTATCTTTTTTAGAAGATCTGTCCTGTTCTATAATCATTAACTTTAATCGATCTCTAAACCAGATTATAGTCTAAACTATCTATAAAATATCTTTTATATAAACTTTTAGGTTTATAAGATTAACTTAATAAACTTTAGAGATAAACTACTAATATTATTATAATCTATTATTTAAAGTTTATTATACTAAATATTTATTAGAAAAGATCTAATTTTAAATTATAGATAAATAAAATTTAAAATATTAATAATAAATAAATCTCTTTTATTTAAATACAAGAACCTTACTAATAAAGATCTTATATTTTATAAGACACCGAACGATCCCTAATTATTTCAAAATCCGTCAAATTATATCTATTAATAGAGTACCAGTCATCCTACTTTTCAGGGCTCAATAAGACCAAAAAGGATTACAACAGATATATATTTTGATTAAACAACAAGCTTAAAGATCAAATTTAGAAGATCGACCGCTGTAAGAGCGAGATTTTGTATCGTTACATTTCTGCCAATGTTTGAATATATTAGCTATTATATTCCAGTAACAACTAAATTCCTTAGCTAACTTAGCTTAGCTAGAAAGTCCATTTTCGAGAGCGTAGATAATCATAATACGCTGTTTAGCTGAAAGTTCAGCCCTTTTGCTACAAATTGCACCAATTTGTGTGGCAATCGAGGCTATTAGGAAGGTATAGGAGGAAAAATAAAAACATAGGTGGTTGTTGGGGTGATAAGTGGTGGGGCTGAGTGTACACAGACTTTTGCGTGGGTGGTGTATCTAAACTACTATCGTCCGAACATATGTAAAAGCGGATAGTAGGATGGTAGGAGTTAGGTATTAGATCGGTTGTTATAGCTTCTCCTTCTTTTCTTTCTTTTTTTTCTTCCTTAGCTTTAGTATTCTAAATTAAAACACTATTATTACTATATCCTAACTCTAATTAGATTTCCCGCTGATAATATTAAAGCTTACTTTTTTTCTTTCTCTTTTACTACAATGTATATCGCTAATACTCGATTTCGAGCCGACTATATCAAAATATTTGTTATAGTTAAAGCTATCTTTAATATATCTTCTTATAGTTAAAAGTATAATCTAGAGAGGATAGAATAGTAGACTAGAAGTTATATCTTTATCTTAGATATATTTCCTGAATTTTCGATCGAGGAGTATAATAAGTAATAGAAGCTTATTTATAAATTACTAGAGAAATTAATCTCTAGTACTATAATTATTAATATCTATCAGAATAATTATCTCTTTATTAATATTAAATAGTTAAGAAATTCGAAAAATTGTTTTAGTAAAATTTATAATATTTTTAAAATAATATAGTTATAATAATATATTTCCTAAATAAGAAATAATTAAAATTTAGAAAAAAGCTAGTTTAATAATAAATCTAGTAAATATAGCTAAAAAAATATATTATCTAAATTAATAAAAAACTTAAATATTTTATTATAAAAATAATAAAATATAACTATAAAATATTATATATTACTAAAGTCTCTAAGATAAATTTAATAATATATTAAAAGAAAGTTAAATATAATATTAACTAGAGATTAATCGAAATCTTTTAAGATATCTAATATATCTCTTTTTAATAAAAAGATATTAATTTAATTTAAATAATAATATACTATTATTAAATAAAATATTACAATAGATTTTAGTTAGAGAGATATACTATATAAGGTATATCTAGATATATCTATATATATTGTGTAGATATAGTAGTCTTTTAGCTTAGCTGTTAAGATATTAGCCTAGAAATACTCCTTTATATAAAAACTCTAATTTAATAAAGACTATTACTTATTAATCTTATATTAAATAATATATATATCTAATTAATATAAGAATAATACTCTTAAATAGATTAGTCTATATTCTATCTCTAAGATAGAAGATAAGTATACTAATTTCTAGAATATCTTTAATTATCTCAAGATAATCTATTATAACTTCTATAAATATAAAATTATTAAAAGTATATTCAAGAAATTAAAGATAAAGTTTAAAAATAGTTTCTAAGATTTTATAAAAAAATTTATATATCTAATACTCTAAAAAAAGATCTATATAGATAATAATAATAAAAAAAGAAGTTATATAATCGATTTTTACTATATATAAAAATCTTAGTATTTTCTAATTATAAGAATAACAAAATTAGTTATTAAATATTTATAAAAAAATATTATCTTTCAAAAAAGATTACTAATCAAAATTAATAAGATCGAGTATATAATATCTATAGAAATATTAAAAACTTAATCAAGATAGAACAAACTTAGAACTACAATTCTATAATTTTTTATACTAAGATACTAAA